TGGCTAACGACAGCGTGAATCTACCACAGACTCCACCGAAAACTCAAGCCTAAAGGAGTTCTGGCATGTTGTGGAGTTGCTAATGCTAATGGTTAGCTTCTACTAGTCAAGATGCGCTCTGCTGTCTCCTGGCCGCTACATCAACAACCTTCCTCTTGTGAGGCAAGATGGATGATCTCATGAATGCTACTGTGACATGATGCTGTGCAATTGTCACAGGCTTTTCTAATTTGAGCGTTTCCCTTTCTATTTTCCATCAGAAGCTAATGCAGGTGATGGGGTAGAAGACTTTTTTTCATGTTTGGCCTGAAATGTCTCCCCAGACTTCATTAATGTCTAGAGGAGTGATTCATCACTAAATTTAACCTATCTGCTGTGTTCATGATAACACATACAGGAAAAGTGCTGGAAGCAGACTGCAGCACCAGGTATTTAAGCTTATTTTTTTCTAGCAGACTGAACCGCTAACTGTGAAGCTGCAAATGGGCTTGCAGGGGGCAATAGGGGCTGGGTGGCCTTTCACTAACCCTGTAAAGAAGGGCTATTCAATTCCGGTCCTGGTGGGCCGGTATCCAGCACATTTAGTTTTATCGCATTATCAACACACCTGATTTCAATTAGCAGGTAATTAACAGGCTTCTGCAGAGCCTGATGAGCTGCTGCAGAGGTGATTCAACCACTGGAGCAAGTGTGTTGGAGCAGAGAAACCACTAAAACATGCTAAATTACCAGCTCTCCAGAACCGGAATTCCCCAGCTGTAAAGAGTAACTAAACATAAAGTTTCTCACTTGGCCTTTAAAGTTTGTTTGCAAATAGGCTGCACGGTTGCATCTGCAGCCTTTCTGCATGTTCTCCTCAAGCTGCCTGGGGTTTCTCTCCCAGACCAAAAATATGCATGTTGGAATTTAGACTCTAAATTGCCCCTTGGTGTGACTGACTGTGTTTGTCTCTGTGTGTGTCCGTGATGGACTGTAGACCTGTCCAGGGTGTCCTCTCTTGCCTGGAGGCTGTTGGAGGTATGACACCAGCCTACAAACATGATATACTGCCATGGGTAATGCATCAACCTCAGTCTTTGCTCTGCTTAACATCCTGTTCTTCATGTCGGCCACTAAACCGTCTACTGTTTGCATTTATTTTAAGCAGATCAGCAAGGTTTCTGTGACAAAAATAAATTAAATAAAAATTCTGACACACTTCTAGGGCTTGGTGTGGCTGAGGAACCAGAACCTCCCATGCCTGGATCCACAGAAGAAGAAAAAAAAGCTACACCTGGTGTTTAAACATGTTAAAGACTGAGATAATCAGGAAAATCAACAGCTGACTGCAGCTGATTAGCAGTTAGAGGGAAGATTTGATAAGACATGAATGAGTGTTATTGTTACATTACCCGTTATCAGTCTGTTAGGCCCAGAGTAGAAAAACCTTGACAGGACAACTACAGGAGGAAGCGACTTCTGCAGCGAGCCTCAACGTGCACAGATCTAATCTTCATAAAAAGCTGTCTGAAACAGGAGAGGTGACAAACCACAAGCAGCTGGTTTCGTAGCTGTGAGGATGTTCTTCGGACTGCAGTTTGCAGCTCAAACCTCCCTGTTGCTCGTGTGGCTCCTGTGGTTATTAAGCAATTAGAAAAGGGCTTTTAAACAAGGTCAATGGCTTCTGCACACACAGCTCCTTGTTTTGTTTCATTTATTTAATAATTTTGAGATAAAAAAATACAGTCATTATTATTCACACTCAGAGATTATATCCTGGGCACACAATGTCCTTTATTAAAGGTCAGTACTTTTCAAAATAAAAGCCTCATCATCAGTGGCATGGTAGTAAATGCTATTTAGGGCTTTTTATTCTCTCCTTTCATCACAAGAACACGTTATTCATGCTTTTTGTGCACTTTACTGTAACCATTTCTATTAAAATCTCTGTTAAACAGTTTCTCCTTTGTGCACATCAGCATAAATAATACAGAGATGACAGCAGTGGAAAAAAGGATAAATACCACCTTTAGTTGTGTATTAAACTATAAGTCATGGTGTTTCTGACACAATCCACTTTTAACAACAGGAGAGAAATAAATCTCCCACCAAGTTCTCATAAAAACACGTTTGTTTTCTCTGTAATCCCCTTTGATCTCCAACCTGAAGCCTTGTTACAGTCTCCTCAGCTGTCCGGAGAGAGCTAACCGACGGATCTGATGAGTATCAGCTGAAATAAGAACGATAAAAAACCCAGAGCTGATAAGATCTTATCCAAACCTACTGTGCAAGCATTCTTTAAGGCAACATGCCCGAGAGCGAAAAGTCATACCTCATTAGTCTTACTGTCAGAGCCACTTGAAGCCTTCAGATAAGGTTAAAACCCCACCATCGGGGGATGTTTCAGCAAACATGTCAGTCATATTCAAGAGATGTTACAAGCAGTCACTTGGGACAGCAGTAGCTCAGGAGGTAGAGTGGGTTGTCCAGTAATCGGAAGGTTGCAGGTTCGATCCCGGCTCCCACTAGAGAATGCTCCTTGGACGAGACACTTAACCCACCTTGCCCGCCGGTGTTGGTCGGATGGACCGGTGGCACTATTGTTCGGCAGGCCTTGACTCTGTCAGTGTGCCCCAGAGCAGCTGTGGCTACATCGTAGCTCATCATCATGAGTGCGTGTGAATGGATGAATTACTGATTGTGTTGTGAAGCGCCTTGAGGGGTTGTAGGACCCTAAGAAGGCACTATACATAAAGAGGCCATTTTTACCATTTACTTATCATGGTGGAAATTCGTTTTTCCCTCCTGCAAAGGCTTCACAATTAGCACAGTTACATAAATGAGAAGAGATATGCTTGTCTGATTTCCATAATTATGATGCAAAAAGTCTCCAAAACCAAAAGTGTCTCACAGAACTGAGAAGGTGGGAAGATACAAAATTTGCATGCTGTGAGTTGATGTGTTCTTTAACACAATGTGGCCTCGTTTGTCCTTCTGCGTTAAAAGTTTCTTTTTAAAAACATTCCAAAATGTCCAAAATCTTCTCATTACCACATTAAAGGTGTGGAACACTGAAGAAAAAAAAAATTAATGATTATAATCAGTCACTCTGAATTTTTCCCATTGGGAAAGAGAAGGGAACTCATCTGTGGGTAATCCTGTTGTCTAGGAGCTCCGGTTTTGGGCCAACTGAAAACAATAAGTGCAATCAGGGGCTGTGAACAAGCTGTTTCTCCCCTCCCTGAAAACACTCATCAGGTAATCTTGGTCTCAACCATTGCAGCTGCTGTATGAACACCTGTTTCCAACTAGTAGCACAGCATAAGTTTGGTGGCATAACTGAAGCGTCAGCCCTTGTGTCTCAGCCCCTCCGGTGTGAAGACACTCCGGGGTAAAGACATACGTGTCTACCTGAGCGTGTCCACAGTGCAGGTACACAGAGCAAACAAACTCGACCCAGACGCTGCTCCATCGACACCTTGCAAATGTGCCATTATTCTATACCTGTGATCACTGGCTTCAGAGGAAGGTCACACACAGCAAACCACTTTCGTAACCTTCAAACCTCCGCTCGCTAAAACCAACTCCCCCCGAAGACACCCACCTGTCTATGGGACTGTGGAACTGCCAATCAGCTGTAAACAAAGCATGCTTCATTACCGCATATGCAAACCACCTGTCACTTGATGCACTGGCTCTCACTGAGACCTGGATCAAACCATGTGACAATGCTACCCCATCTGCTCTCTTAATTAAACACACTTTCTCCCACACTTCTCGTGCATCTGGCCGAGGTGGTGGAACGGGCGTGTTAATTTCCAACAAATGGATATACAGTCAGTTGCTACCCATCACTAAATACAACTCCTTTGAATACCATGCCATCCAGGTTACTGTACCGAAAAAAATTTTTTTGGTTGTCATACCACCACGTACCACCACTACCACGTCAACTCGTAGACTTTCTTGATGAACTCGACACCCTGCTCTCCCCCATTCCTGAGCACGACTGTCCCACAATGGTCCTTGGAGACATGAATATTCACCTGGACAATCCCAGCTCATCAGGCTTCCTGTCACTAATGTCATCATTTGATCTAAAACTAGTACAAAGTCCTCCAACTCACAAAGATGGAAAAGCACTTGACCTCATTTTCACCAGAAACTGTGCCATAGACACAATCTCTGTCACACCGCTGCATCTTTCCAATCATTATAGAGCGACTGCCAAATCCTCAGTGCTTATTAGAGCTGAGGAAAATAATCAAATAATCGATGCATCGGGATGCGGACATAAACGATTCTGCATGGTAGAAGAGTACGCCATAATCGATTATAGTGGAATGTAGTTTTGTTTTTTTAACGGCGGCATCAGCGCAGCATCCAAATCTGTCAGAGTGAGCGTCCTCCACATTTACCTCCGCCTTAATGTGGTACTGCAGGGCTGAGTGCTAGAGTTGTAACCTGAGACCGAACCAGAACCGAATCAGCCCGACCGGTTCTGTTGGATTTGGGCCGTGAATTAAGTTAATTGAGCGGGTTGTCATCATGCGGCGCACTCCGCTCGCTCGCACAGCAACTGAGAGAGAGAGAGAGAGAGAGAGAGAGAGAGAGAGAGAGAGAGAGAGAGAGAGAGAGAGAGAGAGAGAGAGAGAGAGAGAGAGAGAGAGAGAGAGAGAGAGAGAGAGAGAGAGAGAGAGAGAGAGAGAGAGAGAGAGGGAGGATTGGAGGACGCTCTTCCAAACACGCATTATTATTTTCATAATTTAATTATTATTTCTCCTGGAAGCGCTCAGTCAGACCGAGTGTTGTAATGTAGGGAGAACCGGTCTTGGGGAGGGAGCGGGGTCAATGACGGCGGCTGCAGCGTGGTCATCTGTCTCTTTTATTTAGGGACACGGAGAAGTTAAAAGGAGAGAGAAATAGAAGATAGAAGTTCTTGTTCCACTTTATTCTTTTGTTTCTTGATGATAAACTGATGTTACATTCAGCTTAAAGAGAAACTGGGAGGAAGCTTTGGTTCATTTTAGAGCTGAAACAACTAATCGATTTAATCGATTATAATCGATTATTAAAATAGTTAACAACTTTTTTAGTCATCGATTAGTTGTTTAATAATCATATTTTACCGCATAAAGTCTATTTTTACCACAATCTGACATCGGTTACAAGCTGTTAAATTTACCGCCAGTGTGTGGCAGTAATGAGCCGCTGATCTACCAGTGGAGCCGTAGAAGAAGAAATGAGCCAATGAGTGCCCTCGGTTTTCATGACGTATCACGTTACTGACGCTCATCTTGCTGTGAGAGATGGCGGAACAAGAGGAAATACGGAAGAAAAATAGAAGCGACAAAACTTTAGAGAAACCCCGGACAAAAACCTCACGAGTATGGGAGCACTTCACTCTAGATGCCTTTAAAAGGCAAAATATGCAAAAACCATCTAGCATGGCACGGAAGCACGACGTCCCTAAGTGAACATTTGAGACGAAAACGTGGGGGCTGATGCAGCAGAGGAAGAGCACCGCGGTCAAGTGAGCCGTCATTTGGAAGAGCCAGCCCGGTAAGTAACAGAAAATAAACAAGCTGGACTTAGTGTTTTAGCTGAGATCGTTATAGTGGATGTTAAACATGTTTTTTTGCCGCGTCAGTCTACGGTGTTCTACTTCTGATTGACTAGATGCCATCTTGAATCTCCTCCGTGTTGTGAATCATGCGCTTGCCAAATTCAGCACGTCTGTTTATAAGAATGTTCTCGTTAAGAGAAAAGCGGCACAAACCCATAACTATGTTCCTCATTCAAAAAAGGACAACTCTGCGGTGAAAAATATACAGACGAGCTGTGTCCAGGTGAATATAACGCGGCATAGTTGTACGCTTTCAATTTTTAAATACAGGAGAAATTCAGAAAAAGTCATTTTTTTACTATTAAAAGGCTGTTTTACTGTCTAACGCTGTAAAACGCCTCACAACACATTTTTATCATGTTTCTTAAACAGTATTACACAAAATAAACATTTTTCACATTTCTCTAGCTAATTTAAACACTCCCGACTCAAAGTAAAAACCTCATGAGCTTCTTACTTAGAGCTTTTTAATAGTAAAAAAATTAGACTTTTTTTCTGAATATCTCCTGTTGCGGGCTATTTTGTAGAACGTAACCCTCAAAATAAATGATCACTGTATATTGTTAATTAATTCAAATAATATAATATTGATTTAGTGTTGTAGTGTGTGTGCTGCTTTATTTTATATGTGTACTTAGTTCAGTCTATTTGTGTTTCTTATGCAGAAAAAAAACAAGCAACGATGGACAACTACATGGGGAACAAGACACTCACCCCCCAGCAATTCATACCACTTACAAACTCTATTCTAAACATGCTGGTAAAAGACATGAGGCCACTATCCATGGTGGAAGGAGCAGGCTTCCAGCTAATGCTAAAAAATTATTCTGGACTGATATTTTGCACTGTTTAGCTCATTTTATACTGCTGACTGTGTTCATGTGCAATAAAATAGATTGCAGTCAACTGCACAATTCTCTTATGTTTTTTTTTCTTAACTGAAATGCATGTATAGGTTAAATAGCTAAACAATAACAAACCGATTAATCGATTAATCGAAAAAAATAATCGACAGATTAATCGATTATGAAAATAATCGTTAGTTGCAGCCCTAGTTCATTTTAAATTACAGGAGATCTTGTCTCCTAGCTGCTCCTCCAGAGACAGCATGGACAGGAGGGTTACATGGTGAGGGTCCCACAGGACAGGTTAGTGGAAAGGTTTGTAGTTAGCTGGTTAGTGAAGGAGATCCATCAACTGGGTAATTTAAACCTAATCCAGCCCACAGCCTTCTGCTGGTGTTATCATCAGAAAGAATAAAACACACATCTTAAATATTATTGGAAGTGTAGAATTTGTTTTATCTTTTATTATTTTCTGCATCAAACAGAACTTGATTCATTCTCCAACATTTCAGAAATGAACCACTGGGTTCAAATAAAATAGCAAACTAAGTCAAACATTTCATTTGGTGTTATTTCTAACACCCTTCAACAGTGGCATAAATATTTGACTCTAGAGCTGCTCAGAGATATTAAACACTCCTATATCAACCCATTATGTATTTTATTATTACATTATGTGTCCTGTAGGTTTTCAGTACTTTTATAGATTTTGTGAGTTTTTGCAAAGCGTGTTTTTCTCAGCCTGAGGTGTGGTGTTGAACGAGGAAACAGATTGTTTTACTTTGTTAAATCTTCTTAAATGTTTAAAATGTTTTGTCCTAACCTGTTGCGAATGGAGAGCTTTTGGGGGATGGCAGGTTTTGTCAATTACGTTTTTGATAAAAAAAATAATAAATAAAAAGCAATTATCTGACATCTTCTTTTTATCGATGAAAACAAATCAATATGAAATAATCGTGATGCATCGTAATAAATCCGGATATCGAATCGAATTAAATCATTGACCCAATAATCGTAATCGAATTGAATCGGGAGACAAGTGAAGATTCACACCTCTAGTGCTTATCCTGCTCGACTTATCGGCTGCATTTGACACTGTCAACCATGGTTTCCTTTTGTCCACACTCTCTAGCATGGGCATCACAGAGAAAGCCCATGCCTGGTTTGAATCGTACCTCACAGGACGATCATTCAGTGTATCTTGGCTTGCACAATCCTCTACTGTGCACCATCTTGCCACAGGTGTCCCCCAGGGCTCTGTACTAGGACCTCTTCTCTTTGCCATATACACCACCTCACTGGGTGAGATCATTCGATCACATGGCTTCTCCTACCACTGCTATGCAGAGGATACCCAGCTCTATCTGTCATTTCCACCGGACGACCACACTGTCTCTGCACGAATATCAAACTGTCTCTCTGACATATCAAAATGGATGAAATCCCACCATCTCCAACTCAACCTCTCTAAAACTGAACTACTTGTCATCCAAGCAAAAACATACATGCAGCACAATATCTCAATCCAAAATGACTTCCTATCTCTGGCTCCTTCAAAGGCAGTTCGGAATCTGGGTGTTGTGATTGATGAACACCTGAGCTTTAAAGATCTTGTTGCCTCTGTTGCTCGTTCATGCCGCTTTGCGCTGTATAACATACGAAAGATCAGACCATACCTAACACAACATGCCACCCAGCTCCTGGTGCAATCTACTGTCATCTCCCGCCTCGATTACTGCAATGCTCTTCTAACTGGTCTTCCAGGCTGTACTGTGAAACCTCTTCAAATGGTCCAGAATGCAGTGGCGCGTCTGGTCTTCAATCAGCCAAAAAGAGCACACGTCACCCCTCTGTTCATTGAGCTCCATTGGCTACCGCTAGCAACATGCATCAAATTCAAATTGCTAACACTGGCATACAAATTACGAGATGGTACGGCTCCCATCTACCTGAATCCTCTTGCAAAGGCTTACGTCTCGGCCCGGCTGCTCCGGTCATCACAGGATCGTCTGTTAGCAGTGCCTACACCACGCTCAGGACAATCCAGACTCTTCTCATGCATCTTTCCACAAATGTGGAATGACCTACCAAGCACTACCAGAACAGGGGCTTCCTTTTTAATTTTCAAGAAACTCCTGAAGAGCCTGCTCTTCAGAAAGCATCTTCTTAACTAGCACCCTGCCTGCACCCGTCCCCCCTCTCTTTGTTCCCTCCTCTCCATGAATGATGTCAAGTTGTTGTTGTTATTGTTGTTGTTAGCCTCAAGGGCAACATGCCGATTATCACTTGTAAGTCGCTTTGGACAAAAGCGTCTGCTAAATACATAAACATAAAATAGTCTCCTACATCTATCTGCTGCAGTAGCATCTTATTAGAAAAACTTTACAGATCTACGTCACTTAACATTCACCCATCTCCTACACCCACTCCTAAACCCATCTTGATGAGGGGGAAGGCTGTTGTTAGTTTAGCATCCAGGAAACAGCAGAGAATGTCTTGGCTAGTAGAAGCTAACTGTTAGCATTAGCATCTTCACCACACAGCAGAACTCCTCCAGGCTTGTGTCATTAGTGGAGATAAAACATCAACGTCGCAAAGCAAACTAAGTCAGAGGTAAAGTTGTTTTGCCGTTAGCCAATCAGAGGTGAGATGCCTAAATATCAGGAAGTAAGACTCCAAATCCTGCCATCTGAAGCTCTCCTCTGATCTTGCAATCTTCTAGATCCTAAAAGAAGTGCACCAGTTTTCTTTTCCCCAGGGTATGACTTATAAGGCATTCATTACTACTAGAGACCACTGCAAATGCATTGATTAAGCGTGGTACCCACACCTCTAAAGAGTTACATCCACAGGCCATACTGGTTTCATGAGCTGCACTCAGATTCTCATCATTTAGGGAGTAATTGTTTCCTTCCTGACATGATGCTATCTAAAAACCACCCGTTTCTGAGGCTGACAGCTGAGCTTGAAACTCAACTGGTGGTGCTGCAGAGCCCTGGAGCCCTGATCAGCTTTCAAAAAGGCAAGGCCAGCACTCTGGCAAACACAGAAAACCAGCGTAGGAGGGGGTCAGGGGATCAGTCATTTCCATGAGTGACAGCTGCACAGGCTCAGCTGGTAGCTGGGCTTTGTGCTGCCGTGATGGGCTGTTAAAAACCTTTCTTCACACAACAGCCAGGACACTTCCTGACTGCGTGAGCCACTTGTCTCACTCCATCCTTGTCATGCTTTCAGACGTTAAATTAATGAGCTATTTGAACAAGCTTTGTCCTAAAGCTCCTCAGGGGAGCGTCTGTAATAATCACTATAATAGTACAACAGAGTCCTGCTTTGGCTTTATGTCATTACATTGACCAGTTCTGATTCAGCTATAAAGGTTGTGCAGGTAAAATATTAAAAACCATGCGTGAATGTGACGGTAGGGTGAGAAGCACCAGAAAGAAGTGTCAGAATGATTTAACCTAAAAAATCTTATCGTGTTTGCTTTCAAGCTGTTAAATGAAAACAGAGCTCAGCTCACCCAAGTCTTCTAGAGGAGAAGCGTTATCAAACTCATCTGTGAACAGCTGGTATGAGGAAGTGGAGACACGTCGTAAGGAATGTGTGCAGCGGTGAAACAGTGTTGTCACAAGCGTGATAATCTTGGTTTATTTGGAATGTGTAGGTTGAGCTCTCCTTCAGCCTGAACTGAAAGTGAACATGAGGGATTTCTAAGACTCCAGTTGGAGGACAACAACTCAGTTGTGACCAAAACCCGAATGTTTTATTTATGGCAGCATTGCTGTAGTCATGTCTCGTAAATCTAAGCTGAAAGAAACAAAACAGCAGCGTTCCATTATCAACTCTGCACATTGATATACGGTTTAACTTAATGCAGTCCGTTAGCTGTATTTTTATTCAGGGTTGGGTACATTTTCTGCATTTAATAAACTTTTAACATAAACGTGCTGTTTCATCAAAGCCCCGTTTGTGTTTAAAAGTGATGAAAACACTGAAAAACACAGAAGAAAAATTATGTTTATTTGTTAATGCACTGAGGTTATGTCAGGATCATTGTTGGTAAAAGCCTCTTAATCACTCATACGAGACACGTGCGAGTATGCACAGACGGATTGTGCCTGAACACAGGTGAGCTGAATATAAATGTATAGCTTAGATGCAGTCTGAGGAGAGCTACCTTTAGTTGAACCTAGTGACCTAGTGAAAAGGTCAGCTCAGCAGCATTGGGATTAGCAAAACCCATATGTCAGAACTCCAGACTGAACTTTATCAGGAATCTCAAACCCATTTACCGTAAATCATTAAATCGACTTTCATGGAATCAGCAGTAAATACAAACCAAAGGGAAGACGGGCTTTTATTTGCAGATTTACTGACCTGCTCTAAACAATCCACAGGCTGTGCAGACTTTAATACGTCTATGGTTAAAAAAACAAACCCCAGTGGAAACGAGGGGAGAACTTTGTGATTCAATTGCAACACGTCCACCTACGGTCTACAGAGACTGCTGTTCTCCAGGGCAGGCAGATAAACAAAATGGGGGTGGCTGCCAGCAACAAAGTAACTTTAATTGCTTCTGAAAAGATAGTTCACATTTCAAAGCACCCATTGACACAGAACACTATGTATTGAAGAAGGGGTTGATTAATGCACGTCTTCTAATTGGACGATACCAGTTAACGTCCTATGATGTCACCAACAGTCTTCACACCTAGAGTTGGTTTCCTCTGGTCTGAATCAATTTGGTAACTGATACTTCTTTCCTGTGTTTTTGTTGTTTTTTTATTTTCACAAAGACAACAGGGAGCAAGCCATAAACATCTACAAACTACCTGAAAATGTCCACTATGTGTGAAGGGGGCAGCCTGGATAATTAAGTCTAATTATCAATGAGAAAACATGACATTTAAAAAAATAAACCATTACATTTTCACCATTATCAGCCCTCTGCTCATTGGTGGTTTGCTACTAAAGTTTGTGTACTCAACTACACCCCAGAAAGCAAAGCCTACCTGCTACTACGGATGTAAGAAAACATCGATAAGGCAATATATTACAATATT